GGGTCCGAATACTGTGGAAAAAAAAAATCCAGATGCGCCGGATGGAGATGACGGCCAGTCACACTCAGACCGCCCCCTGCAGCAGGTAGGGGGGGAGAGAGGGTGAGGGGGTGGGGGGAGGCCTCTTCCCTCTGCCCAAGCCTGGAACTGACGACGCCCGACTCTTCCTCCTCCTCCTCCTCCATCTCTCCTCTTCATTCAGTTTTGTCAAGTAGATGCCAAGAAGTAGCTCAGTGCTTGTTTTGTTTTTTTTGTGTTCTTTTGAAAGGTTGCATGATTTCACACGTCTTTTTATGTGTTGCCCTCCAGAGCTGGACTCTGTAGTAGACTGGTAGTCAAAGAGTTTCAGGTAGGTTTGTGTGTTTGTGTTTGATCCTGTCCCCAGGCCCTTGACTCTCTCGTTAGAAGCAGTGGTTCTTCGTGGTCAGTCCTCACAAAGACTACTCGTACTCAAGGAACTGTTTATGGTAGAATAAGAGATACCTGAGAGAGGGGGGAAAGAGTACGATGTGTTACAGAGTTCATACTGTATAACACTTCTTAGTACTGTTATCGTCTTGTTTCTGGACTCACCCTTCACTATCGAGTACATCCTTAATGCTGGCCTTGGTGATTATGGCGTCATCACATTTGAACCACTGGTCTTTGTGCTGGCGGATGAAGCTGGTGTAGTGGCCACTCTCTAATGTGCCTTGGTGGTTGACCACCGCAAACAAGGAATACCTAGAAAAAACAAACAAAGAAAATGTAAATATGTGTTTGTTTTGTTGTTTGAGTCACTTCAGCACAAATATCTCATAAAGCCCCTTTATCCCCCCCCCCCCATACATGGGTGCCTTCATTTGTCTTGAACGTTATGCTGCTGCTCTTTCAGGTCTTTCCTGTGTATTTAAAACGCCTCATCAATCATCTCCTTGAATACCGACTTTGTGTCTCCGCTACAAGCAACCTGTCAATGGTATTAAGATATTCAATTCCCCGTAAATGTCCTTGAAAATGAAAGCTATTGTAACTGTCATGGATGAAGAAAATTAAGCAGCGTTTAATAGGTTCCAAGTTAATTTAATTTGGGGAAGTCACAGCCGGATGCTTCAAGTCATTAGCATGTGCTGCTGTGCTGGAAGAGACATTTCTACTATAATGTGTGTAGTACTGCTCTGAGGCCGCAGAGTGTTAATATATCAGTTTGCTGTAGTACATGTGTTCAAAGGTACTCACTTATTGTCGTTGTTTAATACATCAACCGTCAGTTGATACTGCCCGTTCATCCTGCTCTCTTTACTGTCGGAGGCAGAAAAACAAAGGCAAGACATTAGCATTTGTTAAAGCTGCATGCACTGGTAAACATGTTACAATGGCACGGAAATCCACTAGGGGGCAGAATTCTTCTATCTTTGAAAGCCGATATATTCCCTGCCAGCGCCTCTAATGATCTTTCTGTCTCTGAACAGAGCTGAATGGATGCTTCTGCCAGGGGTGGGGCAATACTGCAACTGCATGCTTTAATGACATCAATATACATTTATTGGAAGCATTTAATAATGATATTTTTCCCAATATGCAAATATTTTCAATTATTGTGAGTCTGTATAGTGTATCATAGAGTATGCACTACAAACATTAACATACAGATCTAAACAGAAGACCTTGATGTGGACTGGCGGGACCAGATTCACCATCAGGGGGAAATCTATGGGCCCTAGGTGGGGGGGGCTTACCTGGATGCCATGAAGGGCGTCATGTCCAACTCTAGGGGGAAGGAAACGTATGTAGTGATCTTCCTCCGCAGTTTGGCAGAGTGCTCAAACCGCTGTAGATGGCCAGAGAGGATGAGAGAATAGAGGAGAGAGGGGGAAGGGGCAGGAACATGGCAAGAGAGAGAGAGAGAGAGAGTGGGGGGAGGGGAGAGGACACATTATTTAGAAATAACAGACATAATCACAACATACAAAATACAACGCAGCTCATGGAAAGTGAAATGACATGTTGTGTGCCTCACGTTTGCGCATTCACACCAATATAATGACAGGATTGAGCTCAAGACAATTTCCTTGGAAGCCTGGTCCCATGAATATCATAAATACGTTATAGACCTCCCCCCCAATACTGGTATGATAAATAAAACATGGACAGTGGAGGGCTGGACAAGTCATTGAAGTCATTGGTATCCTGGGACAATGCGTGAAAGGGATGGAGGTAATGCACCAACAACTGAATCAGATTATCAACACACCTACGCACAAGCAACATCACACACATCTTATGCATCGGATGTAAGGCTGCACCCTAGAAATATCAAAACCGTCAAGAAATAATTGCATCTGCATTTGGATGATTGTTTTTGGAGTGTCTTTGGACTAACAACAAAATAAGATGTGTGAACGATAAAAGCTCCTCCCGTACCCTAAAATAATTAAATTGTCAGACAGATAATGTAACAGGAGATAATTGGCAGCACGTTGTCACCGGCAGACTCACTTTGAGATGGAAACACGCTACGATGGGGAGCTTTTTCATCGTCAGCTGTTTGGTGGACTCCTGGTAACTATGGCAACCGCCGCACTTGATTTTGGCACTGCTTCCTAGATGCTCGGGCCGCGTAAACCTGCAGAGGGAGGGTCGGAGCGAGAAGAAGGAAAAAAAAACAAGAGGAGAGGGTGTTAAAGAGAAGACAAAATGTGGGCAAACGAGAGACAGGAAGTGAAAACTTTCAGAAGATTAATTAGGTTCTATATTATTTAGTTAATTTACATAAACCCTTTTGATCTCGCCTTTGCACCCCGCTAAACCAAGTCCTACAGATCTGAAGTTGATCTGAAGCTGTACGAGGGCTTGTCTGCATTGAGAGTGTTTGTGCAGCCAGTCAGACCAACCCAGAGCCATGGTGGTAATGCCAACGCCTCCATCACCACGGCAACAACACCAACCAGTTCTGTACCTTTAAGAGACATGCTGCAGCAACTAGGGGTGTGTAAGGTGCTGCAGTAAAAAAAAAAAAAAAAAGTCAGAAGGAAAGGAGGCGAGAGAAAGAGGGGGGGAGGAGACGAATGCGAGAGGTAGAGTGAGGGCATGGGGGGGAAAGCATTATATGGGGAGGGAGGGAAATAAGATAAGGAGAGGAGGAAAAGAAATTGCAAGAATGAAGAGGCAGTCGAGGAGATATGAGAGGTCACATCTGCTCTGCAAACCTGGTGAGTGTGGAGAAGATGAGATCCAGGGATAACAGGTTTGTCGTGGCTGAGCAGACACAATACGTGACCTCTCATACAAGCGAGGGGATGATGAGATTTGTTTTTAAGTGGAGACGATTGAAACCCATCAATCTGGAGAGGTGGCAGAAGGATACAGGAAAATACGCCTATTGAAAGAAAAGTAGTTCCTTTCCTTTTCCAAATGTCATGACATCATTTATTTTGAAACTAACAACGTTTTAATAGCATCATGTTATTGTGTTTTTTGGCAAGAAGCGCTTATGATTTGGCGCTAAGTGTATTCTACGACCCAGGAGACGGGGATTTTAGTTCAGTTTAGATAGATGAAAAAAAAGGAAACCACACTGGCAAAAGATAAAAGGACAAACTGTCAGGTGTCAGCTGATCCGTACCTGCGCAGGCAGTCTGTGAGGGTGGTGGCCCCTGACAGGTGGCTCTCTCCATTCACTGTGCCGCCATCGCCTCCAGGGCTGAGGGGCCAGAAAGGTGTGGAAGAGCCAGGAAGGTCCAGGCTGATGTCCCAGAATGGATCTATCGTCGTGGAAACCCCGCTAAGAGGAAAAAAAGAAAAGAGGGATTGATTATGAGTTTGAATAAATAGTGTGCGGTTGTGTGTCATCTATTACAGGTCATGATGAAAGGATGATGACACAGATGGCAATGCTCAAGCTTAGATTCACACAGCCTCTGTAGACACTGATCATGTTTTGGTTTAAAGCCTGCTTGAACAGCGAACAATGAATGGGTGCATGATGTGAATAATATTCCCCACTCAGAGAATATTAGCTTGGGATTTGTATTTTTACAACCCAATACCGTTGAGTGATGGTCTGCAGCCGGGGCAAAATGGAGGCTTCAGTGAAGAATGCATGCATTACACACAAATATGCGCACAGGCTGCCGCAAATGACTGCTGTTGATTAGAGGGTGATGTTACACCAAGTGGTGCCAGTAGGTGGCTTCTAAGGCAAGTGTGCATTGCATTAATGATGCACGAGAGCAACCCTGCAGCAATATGGAACCATTATGGTACCATTTCTGTTGCCAAAATAAAGCTTTGGGGGATGCATTTCCTTAATCTATAGTCTACAGAAGATGTATCTAACCATTACAGGGGGGTTCAGTTTATGGCAGAGTGATGCTGGAGACAGCGTCAGAAGACTCTCTTCACAGGTAACAATGCACTTTGCTGGGCTTGCCCGCTAGCCTGGACGAGGTGCTTTGCAGTTCAGTGCGGCGCGCTACTGTTAATGTGACAGGACAGCTCTAGAGGCAACGCTTCAGTTGTGCTGATGTCTAGACAACCCCCCCCCACAGCATCTCTGCAGGGACTGGGCCTTTAAACATTAGCAGTGGAGAGGACACAACCAGTGGATGACCCACTCTGAGAGGACAGGTGGTGTCCACATCGATCAGCCAAGCGGAGAGAGGAGACTACGCAATCGCAGGACAGATAGATGATGGATGTGTGTATAGAAAAGTGCTTGAGTGCTCCCTCAAGATGAATGGAGAGAAAGGCTTTTCAAATGGGACTTCATTTGGAGACAGAACTTCTTTATCATTTTTTAAATTGAAAAACAAACAACAAACTTACTGGCACACTTGACAGGTAACATCTGATTGCAGGCCCCCAGTGAAGATTTGGTCAATGATGCAGTTGCAGTGGTTTGGATTGTTGGCCTTCTTCCCATTGTCATCTCCTGTGAAGAGAAGAAAGTATAAATAGAGGAACAGATAACACCTACGACCTGTTTAGCACCTCTAAAGCGCTCTGTCTGCCGCTCTCTCTCACTTTACGTGTCCCCTGCAGCGGAGCCTCTGAGCCACTTCACAACTCCCTGTGTCGTAGCTAATGGAAGCCTCACTGCAGGGTCTGTGGGTGAGTCAGCCTGTCATTGCACTGCAGCAGGTCCTATTCACATTCCTCACACTGCTTGCTTCCTTTCCCTTTGGTATACAAGATTGCCTGTCTCCTTCAGTATGCTTCCAGTGAAGTCAGGCAGTATGCTCCGTTGGTCGATCTAAAGTGCAACTACACATGGCGGATCGGAGGCAGTAGGTGGCCCACACACTCAATATCACCGACACTGATCTTTGGAAAAGCTGCAATCCTGGCTGATGTATAATAATTATAATAATAATAATAATAATAATAATAATAATAATACTCAAGAAAGCACCTGAAAACAAATCTAGGGTAAACCTTTGAATCTCGCTGAATTTCAAAAAGGGAACCCATTGGTGTTTATTTTTTATTTTAAGACATTGATTGGTTATACGGCTTACTGATGGTGTCCCCTTTGCAGTGCCGGTGTAGAACATCCAGAGCTGCGATGAGGAACTCGTGGGCGTCTTGTTGCTCGTATCCTGCAAGGTGACGTGCATGAGTCCACACCAGGTGCAGCAGCCGGAAGGGAATGTGGGGTGAACGGTGGCCCGAGTAGAACTGAGAGAGCGGGCAAAAAGAGAGATGGGGGTGAAGAGGAGAGGGTGGTTAGCCTAGTTTTCCAGGTGTTCTTAGGTCCGACATATTTGATCACCTCTGTGACAGGCTCATTGCCACAAGGCTCACTGGTCATCTATAATTCATTGCTGAACCGTAGCAAACGTTCCGTCAGTAAGAGATGATCTTCTGTCTCTCTCAGCTGCTGCTGCTGCTGCTGCTTTCTACAGGACATCTTCAGAAACATGAATTCATTCCAACACACATCACCCAACGACAAAAGCTGTAATGCCAGCTCGCGACGAGAGGCGAGTGTGATGCGCATATATGTATATACAGTATCTTTATGAACCATGTCTGTGTTTCTCTCTTCTGTTGCTGCTGTAACACCTGCATTTCCCTACATGGATCAATAAAGGTCCGTCTTATCATAAAACACAGTACACAAAGACATGGTTGAACAACGTGATCGCATGGAGCAAGGTTCAACACGGCAATGAAGTTCCAACCAGAGCTCATTAATGCCGGAGAGGGCTCTCATGTCTCAATGCGGTGATGGTGCAAACATTTCTGCTTTATTCGACACAGCTCTCTCTGAAATATGTTTGAGCTGCTCAGGGAAAACAAGCTGCACTGACATCTATTTTGAATCTCACAAACGCTTCTTCTTCTTTCCAGCCGTTTGAAAGTGGTTTGACAAAGTCTACGAAACTGTGCGGGGGGGAGGAGAGGGGCTGATCAAAGCGGGCCGCGTCTCTTACCTTCAAATATATAAAGCTGTGTGTGTGTGTGTGTGTGTGTGTGTGTGTGTGTGTGTGTGTGTGTGTGTGTGTGTGTGTGTGTGTATAAGTGTGTGTGTGTGTGTGTGTGTCTGCAGAGTCAGAAGACAGCATCTGATGACGACATCGGGCTGGTTAGAAAAAGGAATGAAGTTGCGGGATGGAAGTCTGCTAGGAGGAAGACTTGAGTGATAATATGTGTGGGACAGAGAGTGTTTGAATGGATCAGTGTTTCTTGTATGGGTGACCCCGAGTGTTCCGTCTCACACGCAGCTGGAATCCTCAATCACCGTCTGCCTCTGCGCGATAGAGGTGAGCGATTACCTCCTTCATGTGTTATATATTGTATGTGTGTGTTGTGTTGATTGGTCGATTGGCGATGACTAAACTCATTATAGCACCATTTGCCATCTGTAGGCCCATATATACTGGGAAGTGAGAGGGTGTAAGAAAAAAAAAGCGAGGCCGTGTGGGAGCAGAGCAGGCAGATATTACATAACGTCCAGGGCCGATGAGTTTGTTAGATGTAAAACAGTAAAACTTTTGTATTAAAGAGATAGGCTTAAGAGGCTATAAACAGCAGTGCGACATACAGTCATTTGCATGTACGGTACTAACCAGGTTAGATACAAGTATAATTCTGCTTATTCATTTGCATGAGGCCCTGTTCATTCCTCTCAGGGAGGATTCTTCTCTCCTCTCCCTGCCTCTCTCTTTGGACTCGACAGAAGAGCTCAACAGTGACTCAGCCTGCTGCAATGCGTTACACTGCGAGAGACGGCATCACATGGTTTGAAAAAAAGACCTCAAATTGTACCTCAGTTTGGACCAAAGTCATACTTTTCTATGTTGGGATCGAGCAAATCTATGTGAACAAGTTCAAACACTAACTGTGGATCATACCTCTTGAAAGAGCTGCGACATCTCACACACCAGACAGGAGTTTGATTGCATCTCGCACTTGTGTCTGTCGGAGAGAAAGAAGTCTCGCAGCAGCGGCGTGTGTGTGAGAGCCTGAACAATGCAGTTCATGAAACACGTGTTGCCCAGGTTTATTAACCCTCGTAAACCTGCAGGACAAGAAGAGACAAAGACAAGTGTAAGCACAACATGGCATTGAAGGTTAAACATGACTGTGCTTCTTCTGATTCCTAATGCTGCGAAACGAAGGAACTTGAATCCCAAATAATGACCTGATCCCTGATTTGACCAAGTGTTATCTGTGGCCAGTTTTATTAGGAAGCAAAACTGAATTAGTAGCCATAAGAACCACATACCGTAATTTTCGGACTATAAGGCGCACCTGAATATAAGCCGCAGCAGCTAAATTGAATGATGTGTACATATATAAGCCGCACTGGACTATAAGCCGCAGGTGTTTTAATGTTTAATTACCATATGTAAGGGTTCGTGCACAGAGGGGATTGTCGGGAAAGAGATGGCTGTTTGAGGAAGCTCCCATTTATTAACATTTCAACAAACAAGTTGCATATTTGCATAACGTATTCAAATGTTACCATTTAGTGCAATAGTAGCTACAGAACATGTACTGTGCTGTGTAAACTGTACTGTATCACATAGCGTTTCAGACACACAAACTTTTCAACTTTCAAACTTAAACGGTGCGCTCCCAGCGCACGTACCGGCAGTGATCTACAGCAGTGGTTTTCAACCAGTGGTACGGGGACAAACTGTCTCGCTCTCGTAATGTCTGCCTGTCTTGCTCTCGTTCTGTCTCTCGTACCACTCTCGGTTCCACTTTTACTTTTGCGCGCTACCTGTCTCACTCTTTTCTGGCCTCCAGCTTTTCCTGCTGGAACCCGCCGCTTAAAGGTGGGGGTCAGCGGACCGGCCATAGAGCCCATAGAGCCCATAGAGTTAAAGGTGGTGGACTGTAACCTGTAAAATCCATAGATTTAGGAGGTCCCCTAGTGGCCGTTAGCTGTACAAATCCATAGATTAGCCGCACCGTTATATAAGCCGCAGCGTCGAAAAATGGGAAAAAAGGCGCGGCTTATAGTCCTAAAATTACGGTATATGTATTGAAATTTTCATTTATTTTTTGGAGTAATAGCCATTTTGCTTTGACTTTTGGACCAAATCTATTTTGGTTTTGTTATAGATCAGAAAAAGAAGCATCTCACAGCGTCACCGTGGATTTGCGGAAATTAAAATGGGCATCTTTAATACTTTTAAACTATTTACTTCTTCCGGATATCATTAAATTAATTATTTTTAGAATTAACTGGCAACTTAAATGGACAATGTAAATATTTGTTAAGGGCCTGTATTGAACCATAAATATAGCACCCACATCTGAATATTTATTACACATGAAAGTGTAAATATTAAAATATGTTTGCGAATGTTTGTTTTCTTATCAAGGTGTTGGGTCAGGTCTGCCAGTAAAACAGTGTGTATCCTGGAGCTGACTCCAGAGCTGTTAATGGATTCATTTAGAGTGAGAAACGAAAAGCTACCATTTTCCAGTGATGGCCAATAGAACAGGTGAGACACAGCCAGGTTTTGGGTTTAATCCAATTGAGCGTGGTTTGGTTCTGGAAGAGAGCGCTCTGCGAGAGGTTTATTGCCTCAGACTGGTCCTGGAGTGCACACACACACACACACAGTCTACTGCACAATCAGGGCTACCAACCAAGCTCTTTGGAGATATAAGGGGTTGAAGGATGGCAGGGTAGAGGGAAAGAACCAAAAGCTCATGTACTTTATCAGAGACAGAATTGGCACGAAGAAAACAAAGCAACAGATCACTGAGGAAAGAAAACATGTTCTGTTGGATCCTGGGTATCACACTTTAATGCAAGAGTGACCCCAAGTACACTTGCTCCATAGGCACATGAAGATAACACCCAGCTCTAAGGGATCCCACAAACTGTCTAGAGAGTGCAGTCTAGTGCTTACCTATGGTACAGTTTGTAGTGATTTTCCTCCGCTTTGGATTGTGTCGTAACAATTCTAGCTCCCTCTTGGTCGGCTCCCATGTTGTGTATTTCTCCCCTATGCCTGTGGATACAGAGAAACAGCAATAAGACGGCACGATATAAACTTGTTAGAAAAGATGATATCGGAGAGAAAGCAAAATGCTCTACCTTGCAATTTCCAGGCTTTCCTCTGTTCCTCTCTGGCAATCTGCTCCATGTCTTTGTCGTATATGTAGTCTTGACACACAAAACAATATATTCCACCGTATAATAAGTCTATCGCTGGAAGAAGGGAAGAGGGAGAGAGAGGGGACGAAAGAGAGATTGCACCATAATTACAAATAGATTTTTCCAGCACAGTAACACACATTGAGTTTTATTTTATTGTTCAACCTCGCTGGTGCAGCCAGCCTCAAGACAAGCGTTTCTCCGCACTGCATTGCTTGCACTGGGCAATTAACAGATATGAGGGGAGTAGTGATGGAATAGGTGTATTTGTCTCCCACCCCCACCTGGGCGTTCAACTAACACCATCCTTTTCCATTCTCAAACTCCACGGCGACAATACCTCAGCTCTGTTGCCGTGACAACCTATTTTTAGCTTAACTGGACATTTTTCTGTTTTTGGTGCCACCCACACTGACAAAGTGAGCCAACACATCATGTAGAAAACCGGACTGGTGTTTGTTATATCATTGTCCCAGGGACATGTTTTGTGTGTTTAAGCAAACATGCAAAGAAATAAGTCATGCAGTAAAACTAAAAATGTATTTGAAAAACATAACCATCTTTCCATCTCGTCTTTCTTATCTCTTGTAAAACACGGCATCATTGGGTAATGATTAGTTGACAAAACTCTGACATGGCCACAAGAGGAAGAAGTCGATTGAGTACTGAGCAAGATACAGGCAGGAATTCATAAATCGTACTCATTTGAGTGAAGAATCCAAAGACTGGTAGGTGGAAGAAAAGGAGAAGAAGAAGTGTTTCCCACGCACAGACTGAGTGGGCCGCCCAGGTTATTTTGATACTGCATAAGTATATTTGGCAACCCATTTTAGTACCGGTAGTTTTAATCAATAGTACAATCTCCCCATGGCCTCCCCATAGGGAGGCTGTGGCTCAGTGGATGGTAGTGCTGCTCAATTAATCGTATTTTAATCGCAATTACGATTTTGGCTTGCAACGATTATGAAAACATAAAAAGATTATTTATTTAAAATTATTATTTTTTTGTATTGGTTTTTCAGTTGAATTATACCTAAAGTTCAGGGTAATCAAACATACTCTTCAAAACATTTTAAATAGATAATCGTTTTTAATAGTCGGGATATCAATTATTGACCCAAATAATCGAGATTATGATTTAAATCGAGCAGCCCTAGTGGATAGTGTCCTGGACTTCGAATCAGGGGGAACCAAGTTCGAGCCCCACTGCAGTCAGCATGTCGTTGTGTCCCTGGGCAAGACACTTCACCCCAAATTGCTCCTGTTGGGATTGTCCACAGTACTGAATGTATGTAAGTCGCTTTGGATAAGAGCGTCTAACAAATGACATGTAATGTAATGTCTGTTCCTCCCCAACCTGTTCCTTCTGCTATCTCCCGGGATCACTGACAAACACACAGGCATTAATCCAGAGTTAAAGAAAGGTGGGAATCATGGACACCTCTGCACATTCTAATTAACTCATAAGTTAAAAAGATGTGAAAAGGATTCCTGAGAGGGCAGCTTGCCATCTAGCAGACAGGGAGTTTGGTTAATTTGATTAGAGGTGGAGAGGAACAGAGCGCCACTGTCAGAGAGGCTCCGGTGGAAAGCTCAGGTAATTAAGTGTGTGTGTGTGTGTGTGTGTGTGCGTGCGTGCGTGCGTCCAAACTGTTGCAATGCATTAAATCAATTAAGGCCATTCAGACAGCTACCACGAACGCCTACCGTCTCCCTTGTTGCCATTTTTAGACGCCCTCACTGGTGTAATATTAAAATCTTGCTCGCTAGTATCATTATCGTATTTTGCATAATTAGCATGTAAGGTTGAAAATAGGCTTTCTGGTAGCTGTGGATTAGCCGCGTCTACTCCTCCCTTACTGCTGTATGAAAGGGAGAGTAGGAACTTCAACCCATGACATTTGACTGGCTACGGCGCTCCCCACCAGAATGGTAATGTGCTGCAGTTAAAGTGAGGTTCAGCTCCCTGTCTGTCTGAGGAGGAGGAAGTCTCTCAAAGTAATGCTGTAATCCTTTGCTGGTAATAGCTGATGCTGCAGTGGGCCACAGGAGTGCATGTGAATATGAGGAATGAGGTAATGAGACTGAGCCTTGGACGTAGGGAGGGTCAGTATAATGTTTTCGACCATCCTTTTAGGTCTATTGTGAGCCATTTGTTCAGATTAAAAAATAACTATGATCAAAATTGTATTTTAATTCATACTACACAGCAATTCAGATTTGTTATAGATATAAAACACTTTAAAAAGGAGAGAGAGAGAGAGAGAGAGAGAGAGAGAGAGAGAGTGAGTGAGTGAGTGGTGTGTGTGTATGACTGGTAAAATATGCTGAAGACCGGCAAATCTAAATCTCTCCGGTCAAAGTGTCCGGTCAAAATAATTTCCCCTTAGCGCAATACCGCATCAGTTGCGCCACTTATGTGACAGACAAGAAGAGTATGTGACAGATAAGAGTAGTCAATTCTAATGTCTAACACGTAATGTGGAGAAAGAGATGTCCTGTATGGGTTGATTGTGCGTTGATCTGTTGGTAATGCCTAGGGGTTCCGGTGTGCATGTAAACAAATGCATAGCGCTATACTTTGTGGCCTCACCCGGTTGCATAGCGACGCTTATTGTTTAGGTGTCTTTTAATAAGCAGGTAGTCATATCATTAGCTAGAACTAGCTGGATCTGATCGATATGGACATAAACGCGAGTGAAGTCTAATCTGACGGGAGAGAGAGATCAGCTGCTGCTGACGAGTCGACACGCAGCTCTGCATGATCACCTGCAGCGGTGAGCGAAACAAAACACGCTCTTCAGGTTAGAATATCACACGTAGCTATTTTAATTACCTCTCAAACTACCGTAACTAGTTATAGATATGTTTAGTTTCACTGTCGGGTCACTCATTACCAGTGTTGGGCAAGTTACTTTTAAAAAGTAACTAGTAATAGTTATAGTTACTGCTCTCAAAAAATTAACTAGTTACTTTATTAG